AAATTTTCAGTCTTGGGAAAATTATGTGCACAGTTTTTTTTTTTCAATGCAAGGCAAAGGCAGTACAAAGTAAGTTAAAAATCCAGTCATATAGCCGAAACCGGTTTGGCTCAGTGGATAGAGCATCAGCCTGCAGACTGAAAGGTCCGGGGCTGGATTCTGGTCAAGAGCATGTACCTTGGTTGCAGGCACATCCCCAGTAGGGGGTGTGCAAGAGGCAGCTGATGGATGATTCTCTCTCATCGATGTTTCTAACTATCCCTCTGACTTCCTCTCTGTGAAAAATCAATAAAGTATATATTTTTAAAAATCTATATAAATAAAAGATGAATAAGGAGAGATCCCCTAGAAATAGGCAACCAGTGTCCAGAGGACAGCTGCCTCAAAAACTCTGTTGTGGAATGTTTAAGGGGAGTATGGTGGACCTTGAATGTTGTCACTTGACACGTGTGAGTTAAATGGAACCATATCCTAACAAATTTTAGCATATCTCATTTGGTAAGTAAGGATCCTTTAAGCATCATGTAAGGAATGCTTTTGTATTTTTGCCTATACAGGAATATGCCAATTTACAAGTGAGTGAGCCCCAGATCCGAGAGGGCATGAAGAGGGTAGAACAGCCCACTGAGGATGACCTCTTTCCTTGCACATGCCATAGGACAAAGGTAACCAGGACGAGCCAGTGTCAGAGTAGCAGCTAACTTTATTCAGTCAGGCAAGGATCGTTTGAGTTTCTCCTGGAACCTCCCAGGCAAAAGAAAGGGTGCTGAGATCCAATGAGAGAGAAGACGTAGGAGCTCCCAGCAAAGTGGACCGAGGTCTTTTTGTAATGTGAGAATTCACATCGAATGGCATTTGAATTTAGAGATGAAAAGTATATAACCATGATTATTCATTTTAGCAAATTATTCATGAAAAGCAATAACTGTTGGTACCACCACATACTGATTTTGTTTATAAAAGGCACGTTCAGCCCCACCTGGTTTGGCTCAGTGGATAGAATGTCAGTCTGAGGACTGAAAGGTCCCAGGTTCAATTCTAGTCAAGGGCATGTACCTTGGTTGCGGGCACATCCCCATTAGGAGATGTGCAGGAGGTAGCTGGTCAATGTTTCTCTTTCATCGATGTATCTAATCAGTAAAAAAAAAAAAAAAATTTTCCTAAAAAGGGGGGATCTCTCCTTTCAATTCTGACAAGGCCATAATTGAAAGATACCCTCTCACAAAGTTAGTGATTTGGTGTCAGAACGCTTCTGTGGACTCCAAATGAAACTGGGCAGCTCCTTCTCTCAGCTCCCTTTTTTAAATTTTCTTTTTAATTTGTCTAAGTATTCTAAGGGATGTCAAATGATTATACTTATTTGTAGAAGTTAGGGGGCCTAGAATGACATCTTTATTTATTTCTTCCTCATTGTGCATTCTACCCTGTCACTGACCATTCATAACACAAGACCCTTTACAGTTTGGGTTCAACATCAGTAGTCTATAAAACTCTACCCGTCGGTGATTCCAAAAACAGTTCTGGACCCTATAAGTCTATAGCAGTAACTTGACCTTTTTTTTTTTCTTTGTTCATCTTTAAGGAAAGACAATTACTAATATAAGTCTTCCTAACTCATATGTGACTTCTTGATGGCTCTAAATATTTTGCTTCTTCGTTTCAGACCAAAGATGAACTCTGACATGCAGAATACCTTCCCTCCAAATAATGGTGCTCTGAAGACTCTTCTTAACTGAAAAAGAAGAATTTTTTAAAAAATGTTAATGCTATGGACAATATAAAATCTGCTATGTGATTGTCTGGGTCATGAAGATGTATTTCTTATTATGCAGTATTCCCTTGACTGTCTTTTAAAGCACATTTTTAGAATTTTATAATAAAACCACTTATTTTAAAGGCCTGTGATATGCTAGTTATTGTGTTTGGATCAGTAAAAAGAGGGGGAGTCTGGGTCCTGAACTGAGTGTGGAACATCACAGCAGCCACCAGCAACCCAGAAATGTGGTTTGCAAGACAAAGCAATAAACCTCTGTCTTGCTTACACTATTATTTTGGATTTAAGTCCCTCACAGCCAAACCTAACAAATATATTTACAAGGCCTTTCACAGTCTGGTTTTTGCCTGCATCTTTAATCAAATCTCCCATGACTTCCTAATTGTGTACTCTGTAGCCCAGCAAAACAAATCCCTTATCCTCTTTCAATAGCTTCTTACCTTGCTCGTGTATGCTTCCCCCTTGGTCTGCAATGCCATCACCCTCTCTTCTTCCTCTGGCTTAGACAGCCTTCAATGCTCATTTCAGGAATCACCTCTATGACCCTTCCATCTGCATCTGCCATCCTATGTGGTAGGGATCTAGTTGGTTATCTTTCTCCCTTACCAGATTTTAAGCAGCTTGACCACAGGGACCCTGCTCTTCTTCTATTTAATGAAGTACCTCCAACTGGGAAGGCTCAGTAAATATTAAATAAATAACGACTGAATGAATGAAAATCACTTTGAAATGTGATTAAGAGAATTAAAAAGGAACTTGAAACCTAACACTGAACCGTAATATAATATTTTACATTTATCTAAGTTTCCCTTCCACCCACCTTACAGTTAGTCTGTGAGAAATTGTGTTGTATCTTATGTACATAAACATAACATGTGTCTGCAGCTTAAAAAATAATTATAAGAAGCCTGGCTGGTGTGGCTCAGTAGTTGAGAGTCAATTTATAATCCAGAAGTCAATGGTCAGGGCACATGCCTGGGTTGCAGGCTTGATTCTCAGTGTGGGGCTTGCAGGAGTCAGCTAACCAATGATTCTCTCTCATCATAGATGTTTTTATCTCTCCTCCCCTCCTTTCTGAAATTAAAAATATATTGTTTAAAATAAGAATTATAAGAAAACACCCATGTAACTACTAAAAAGATTCTTTTCTTGACAAACTAGTCAGACTCCTGAACCTTCTAGGTGCATAAGTGCACTTGCTTATAAAACCCAGTTTCGGCAAGAACCCTGCTTAGTCCTTTTAGCAAGAATCTTCCATCCTCCAGTGCATTTGGTCTTAAATTTACTGAAAATCATTGAGTTGAACTCTTAGAGAGGATTTTATGCCATGTAAATAAAGTTGTCTTTAAAAGCATAGCTAGAAAATTAGGAGTCAAGAAATGTTAATTAAGACTTGGAATTCAGATCCTTTTTTACAGCTGCATAGTACCACAGTTGTTTAATCCACTGGTCTACCGATGAACACTTAGGCTGAATTTAGCTATTGTAAATAATGCAGGATCTCTTTCCCTTTAAAGCAGCCTGGAAGGACCTAGAGAGTATTATGCTAAGGCAAATAAGCCAGTTAGAGAAAGACAAGTATCACATGATCTCACTTTTATGTGGAATCTAATGAACAAAATAAAAGATGAATAAAAAAGCTCCAGAAACATTGAAGCATGCAATGGACTATTTCAGAGGGGAGTTGGGGGAGGGGGTGTACGGACTGGAAGAGATTAACCAATGAACTTATATGCACATATATGCACAGTCCATGGACACACAATAATGCAGGGAAGGCCTAAGGAGTGGAAGAGACTGGGGTAGAAAGGTTTAATAAGGGGGAGGGGGGCGCGGGAGATATCTGTAATAATACTCTCAAAAATAAAGATAACTTAAAAAAAAAAAAAAAGATTTGTAGCCAAAACTGGTTTGGCTCAGTGGATAGAGCATCTGCCTGCAGACTGAAGGGTCCCAAGTTTGATTCCAGTCAAGGATATGTACCTTGGTTGCGGACACATCTCCATTGTTGGGTGTGCAGGAGGCAGCTGATCGATGTTTCTAACCCTCTACCCCTCATTCTTCCTCTCTGTAAAAAATCAATAAAATTTGTAATAAAAAAAGATTTGTAACTGCGAAAAATGCTTGAGATAAATGACAAGTGTTTTTCTGGATTTTATTTCCTTCCATGCTCTGTGGCAGAAAAGAGGACAGTTACCAACCACACTGAGCTTGGGGAAGATTCATTCATTCAAGAAGCACTGATTTGCCAGGCATTAGTCTACATACAGGAGGTTCAAGATAAAACAGGCACAAAACTCCCTGGCTTTATGGAGAGTTTGCAGTCCAGTAAGAAGACAGATGCTTCATAGTATATTAGGTGACCAGGGTAAAAGGATAGAAACTGGGGCGATTAGGCAAGGCCCTAGGGGGGAATGACACCAAAGACTGCCGGAATACCCTGAGAGGAGGAACCAGCCAGTGAAAAGCCCTGTAGAGGGGCACATTTTTAAAAAAATATTTATGTGTGTATATATATACATACATATATTAATAGATTCTTTACAGAGAGGAAGAGAGAGGGACAGAGAGTCACAAACATAGATGAGAATCATTATTCAGCTGCCTTTGACCGGAATCGAACCCGGGACCTTTCAGTCCGCAGGCCGACACTCTATCCACTGAGCCAAACCGGCCTTGGCAAGGGCACATCTTTTTTAATAACGGGCCAGTTGAGAAGCCTTTGGAAGGTTTCCAGCCAAGGCGTTTCCATCCCAACTGGCTCTAGTTGGCCTCCGTACTGATAACCTAGTGACCAGGCTCGGGGGGCAGCGTGGGAACCAGAGATCGCCTGGCTGTTTCAATAATCGGGGCTAAAATGATGCTTGGAGCTCGCACCGGTCTGAGCATGAGAAGTGGCTGGATTCCGTATGTATTCGCACAGAGAGCCAACTGGACCCACCACACCTGAGGTGCCACCGCGTGTTTCCGACCTGCGTAACTTCCCACGGGGCGGCCGGGGTGGCGCAGGGTCCGGCGCGGAACGCGGCGGCGGTGGGCAGCGGCCGGAGGCGAAGCGTCAGCCACCCACGTGTCCGCGTGCACACGTGGCCCGGCCCCAGCGGGCGGCGGCGACGGCGGCGGGAAAAACTCCCGCTCCCGGCGTGCCCCGCGCGCCCTCCCGCGCGCCCGGGGGGCGGGCACTGCGCGCGCATGCGCCGCCACGGCACGCTCCGGCGGTTGCAGCCCGCGGGTCGCCGGGAGCGTGAGAGTTTGCGCTCTGAGGCGGGTGAGGGCGGTTCGGTGCTCCCGGCCACTTCCCCGGCCCCGGTAAGTGCGGCGGCGGCGGGCGCTCGGACGCGGCGGGGGACGGCCTCTCCAGGGAGAGCCAACGTGCCCGGCGCCTCGCCTGAAGCGCTGCGGACTCTGCGGCTGTCGCCTTTCGGGGGCTGTGTGTCGGCTCCGTGTGAGGCGGTCGGTTTAAGTTCGGTGCCCGCCGCGGGCACCGGCCGCCCGGGCTTCTCCATCCGCCCGGCCGGTCCGGAGGCCGGAGCGCGGGGACGGTGCGGGCGGGCACAGCCGGGCGGAGCCTCCCAGCGCGGCCCCCGGCGGAGGACTGGAAGCTGCCCGCCCGCCTCCGGGCTCGGAGGGGGCGCCCGGGTCCTCGGAGCGGCCGCCGCCGCCCAGCCCGGCGCCCGCGCGGCCGCGGAGAGAAGCAGCCGTTTCTCGGGCACCTTTGAACCATGAACTCCCGAGACCCCGCTCCGGGGGCTCCCCCTGCTACATCTGGGGGTTCGCTGCGGACCCGGCCTGTTCGCGACCCCCCCGGCCCGCCCCGCCCCCCACTCCGCCCTGAAGACGACGAACTCCTGACGTGGTCGTTAGCCCGTGACTTCAGTTCACAGCTGTCGACCTAATAGCACACATATTTTTTATTTGTGTGTGTGTGTGTGTGTGTGTGTGTGTGTGTGATTGATTTTTAGAGGGGAAGGGGAGAGAGAGAGAGAGAGAGAGAGGAGAGAGAGAGAAAGAGAAAAACAAACAAATATGGATGAGGGAAGCATCAGACGGGGGCTGCCTCCTGCACGTCCCCCGAGGGCATGGCCTGCAGCCCCGGCCTGTGCCCCACCCGGGGATGCAACCACTGAGCTGCACCTGCCGGCCATGGTGCACATTTTTCCCACCGGGAGTTTCAGTGGTTGTGGCATTTTTTTGATCCTTTGGCAGAGGATGCGATCACTGTTTGCATATTAGTAGTAATAAAAAAAAAAATCACTCTTGGACGCTGACGATATGGGGTTACTAAATACAGTGCAGAGATGATCAGCTCACCATCACAGCATCCCCATGAGGTTGGTGGTGTGCAGTTGAAGCTAGTGAAACAGCGACTTCTTCAACCCTGCCCTATGGGAACCCCCAAAGCCAGAGGGAACCCCCGAGCCTGTCTAGACCAGGTTATGTGAGACTGTGTCCTGGGACAATTCAGGGTTCCCCAAGAACTCCAGGACGTGTGCACCAGTTCTGAAGAACAGACTGTCCATCTGCTGGAAGAGAGTCGAGTTTTCTTGAGAGCAAGCAAAAGCCCAAGTTGTTGAGGAATGGTAGAGCATTCTGGGTTAACAGAGTGGGTTGAATACACATATCTGATTTTACTCCTTCCTGAAATCTCAGAGTTACATACAGTAAAGAGATTTTTTTTTTTTTTTAAAAGACAAATTCACAAGGATGGCGAGAATGGGAAGGGAAACAAAGCAATAAAATATGGGGCACTAAAAAGTAAATGTCTTAGCACAGCTTAGCTTAGTTCTAAACCAGCAGCAGGGAATACCTTGGAACAACCTTCTATAATAATAAAGCCTGACATGCTAATTAGAACAGACAGCCAGAGGACCTTCCAAATGAAGCCTGGGCTGCGAGGGCTGAGCCCCTTGCACAGATTTCGTGCATTTGGCCTGTAGTTCTATATAAACCACAAACGTCTTAAAAGTGCACAGAAACTGGCAGCATTGGCAATGAACGTAACTGTGCTGAGGATGGCTGTAGAGGGCTTAGGTAAAGATGACTTGGGTAACATCTATTTGAAAACGAATTAGATCTAGATTCCCTTTCCCATTCACACCGTTCTCCCATTATCTTGAGAATAAGACAGTTAATTATGGGGTTACATTTATGAAAACGGATACTGCTTCACCTTTCTCCCACTCAAATCCCAGAACTTTTGCAGTCAGACTAATACCCTTTAGGCTCAAATAAAATTTTTCTGCACATAAGAGAAAATAAGTTGAATATAGTGGTTGTTTATGGGACAAGAAAAGAATGTGGTAGCTGTTGGGAAAGAATGTGAGGAGACAACTATATATTGTACATAATTGTTCTTTTAAAATTTTGAGCATGTGCATATATTACCCATTTAAATGTGAAATGCATTCTTTACAAAATTAGTCACAAATGAATATACCCTTTGACACACAAGTTCCTCTCTCATTTATATTATAGATATATTTACACACATGAAAATAAAAGTATAATGCTACTCATTGCAATACTATTTTAGCAAAAGATTAGTAGTAGTCTGAAACTTCACTGAAATTATGTTGGAATATTCTACAGCCATAACATACAACGAAAAATGCTTATTATATAAAGAAAATAATCACCAAGTTATAAAGTGTGTGGTGGAGGTCAAAGGAAAATATCACCAGTTTATAAAAAGTACATATAAAGTATCTAGAAATATATTTAAGAAATAGATAATATTGGTGCCTTTGGGGAGGAGGTCTTGGTGGCAAGACAACAGTAGAATGAAGGAAACTTCACTGTATATTTTTTGGTATCTTTTGAACATATCTATTCAGTGAATTGAAAAATGTTAATAGGAAAAATAGATGAATAATGAAGTTCCTGATGTTGATAATATCCTGAACAATGAAAGATTTTTTATAGTAGTAAGGAATCTGGGTGATAATCCTAAAATCTCTGCGGCTTCCAACATTCCATGGTTTTGGTTCTTAAAGTCAATATTTCATGGTTATTCAGTGGTTTAGATCTGGATTAGGCTGCACTCTAAGGCTTTAGTTTTGGGTTCAGATCTGCTCCATGTGTTTTCATTCTGTGGCCCAGGCTTAAAAAACAAATACCTGGAACATGCTTTTCTTAGGGCGGAGGCTGAGATTTAAGAGAGTTTGTGGGAATTTGCTCTTCTGCTCAAAAATGGCACATTGAAACCTTTATATATATTCTGTTAAAGCAAGTTCCATAGCCAAATGCAACGTCTGTAAGATTGATAGTACACTCTTCCTATTGGGAAGTTGTGCAGTCACATAACAGATGGTGTGGGTATATACTTTTGCATGAGAGGGAGAGTTGAGAACAACAATGATGAAGGAAATGGGTTAATAGAAATATGCTGTGAGATTAAGTTAAAGATAGTTGAGAATGTTTAGAATATTGTGTGTGTGTGTGTGTGTGTGTGTGTGTGTGTATTAAAAGCATAATATACTAATTAGACCAGATAGCCAAATGACCTTCTGGACAAAGCTGTGGCTGGGAGAGCTGAGGCAAACCACTGAGGGCTGTGAGGGCCGAGCCTGTTGCACAAATTTCGTGCACTGGGCATATATATAAATATATATATATTTATATATATGCCAGCATCCTATTTTGATAAGAATTTTCTCAAGGCTTCCATGATAAGGTAACACATTGGCTTTATATTATATGACATCTGTCAGCCCAACACCTGGCCCTATAACCTATTTTGAGTGCCCATAGGAACTTAATTATTGAAAATAATATATATGTAAAGGTACCAGTTCTTTGAGAAGTAGTTTTAAATGTGTGTATTTCAGCTACTGAATGTGTTCATTCACAGTTCTTTGTATTATTTCCATGTTTGCCAACCCACCTTTCACAATAGAATCTTCTTTTCAGGGAGATGTCCTTTGCTCCTCAGATGTAATGCACTTTAAATTTGTTATTCAACAGTGAAAATGAGTCATACAGAGGTAATACATATTTTCTTATGTTCTGCATCTTCAGGATTCTTTGTTGTTGTCTGGAAGTCATATGGTTCCAGAGTAATTTTCTTATTTTCAGCTTATATTGTGAGAAACAGTATAGCATTAGTGGTTAAGAGTAAGGACTTTAGAGCAGACTAAGTTTGAATCCAACTAGTGTTTATATAATCTTAGGCATAATACTTAACCTACTGTGTCTCAGTTTCCTCATCTGTAAAATTGAGATAATAAAAGTATTTGCCTCATAGTAATAATAGGAAGGTTAAATGTGTTAATAACTATAAAAAATTAGAATAGTACCTGACACACAATAAGTATTTAACTATTAGCTATTACTAATATCATTGCTTCTAAATCAGAGACTGTTACTTGAATCATGGATCTTGAAGAACATTTAGTTATTCAGTTGTCTGAATAGGCAAGGAAATAATTTCTTACCCTTTTTATTCTTTTGAATTCCAGGTGAAATTAAAAATACCTTTTGGGAATAAGTTACTAGATGCTGTTTGCTTGGTACCTAACAAGAGCTTCACATATGGAATAATTCTTACCCACGGAGCTTCAGGAGATATGAATCTTCCGCATTTGATGTCCCTGGCATCCCATCTTGCATCTCATGGTTTTTTTTGCCTGAGGTTTACCTGTAAAGGCCTTAATATTGTACATAGAATTAAGGCATATAAATCAGTTTTGGTAAGAAATTTTCTTTGTATTTAGTTTACAATAAAATTCTTAGTAAAGTTAAGACAAATTTTGTTAGCAGTCATTTTGTTTAATTTATCTTTAAATGAATTTTCTTAGAAACTCAGCAGTGTCTGAAATTTCCATGGAGATGAGTGCTCACACTACTCCATGATACTGCCAATGGAGCTACTTATGATGTTATTTTCTTATTGGAATTATATAACTTTAGAATACAGTTCTGGGTATTTTGCCTCTTATAATGTGAATGTACAAATTTAGCATGGTTTTCTGTATATGTTATTTGGAAACTATAAAATTTCTGGATAAAGTAAATCTGAATTTTTTTAATTGATTTTGACAGACGTGGATTTATTGTTCCACATATTTACATATTCATTGGTTGATTCTCGTATGTGTCCTACCAGGGATCAAACCCACGGTCTTGGTATATGGGGATGACGCTCTAACCAAGTATGCTACTTGGCTAGGGCTGAAATTTCTTTTAATCCAAGTTACTTTAAACTTTCTACATTTTTCAGAGCTTTAAATTAGATGTCAGTATTATTATCAAATTTTGTATTAGTTGGAAGCTTTTATTGGCATATCTATATATATATCTTGTTCTGTAAAGGTATTTTAATGTTTGACTTCTTTAGACGGGTGAATTGGGTTTTTTCGTTTGTTTGTTTTTGCTTTACATATTTGCCTGTATTACTCAACATGATTTGACAGTGAAGGCCTCACTAGAAGAGCAAAGAATTAGTTACCTCTTTCAGGAAGAATCTCTTAAGAATGTATGGTTATCTTTGCAAAGATTTTAATACATTTCAGTATTGATGATAAATATATGTTGATTTTTCCAATAGAATGTTTTATAGAAGAATTTGTAATTTTTTGTTGATTATTATTATTATTATTATTATTATTTTTAGAGTTACCTCAAGACCTCAGAATACAAACTTACAGGTGTTTTCCTTGGAGGTAAGTTACACTACTTGTTTTTAAATATAGGATTATGTCATTGAGAATTAAAATAGATTACAGGAAGCTAATTTAAGGATATTTTTGTCTTGTTTTGGAAAGTCACTTCCTTATATGACATCAAAGTACTTTATATATTTACTTGAGGCATGGTGTACGAAATTTGTGCATGGGGTGGGGGGGGAGATGGAGTCCCCTGCACCCTCTCCAATCTGGGAGCCTCAGGGAATGTCCAACTGCCAGTTTAGGCCTGATCCCACAGATGGACATCCCTCTTACAATCTGGGACCTCTGGCTCCTAATTGCTCACTTGCCTGCCTGCCCTAACCACTCTGCCTGCCTGCCTGATCCCCCTAACTGCGCTCCCCTGCCGACCTGGTCACCCCTAACTGCCCTCCCCTGCTGGCCTGGTTGCCCATATTATCGTTGTTTTTTAATTTTATCCCCTTCACACACAATTGTATTTGACTTATTGGCTTCTCCCTCTCACACAATTTTTCTATGTAACACTTTTTCCTACTGACTCATCATCTATAAACTTTCTTTCCTCCTCATTTCCTATTTTCCATCATCCTTCTTCCCATCTTTTTCCTACCCTCTCCCTCTCCACATTCTTTCTTTCCTTATCTTTAGCCCTTTTCTCCCTCCCCTTTTCCTTCCTTCCCACCTTAACTTTTTCTTTACTTCCTCCCTCAATCTGCTTTGCTCCCTCCCCCATTTCTTCCTTCTTCCCATTCTCCTTTTAAGCTCTATCAGCTCTCCTTTAAAACTTTTCTTCCCTTCCTCTTTCTCTCATCCACATTCTTCTCTACTTCCACTGTTTTAATATCTAGCTACCTGCCTAAGTATTCACTATCATTTTTTTTTTCTTTTCTGACTCCTACTTTTAAAATCTGTCCCCAGTACACAGTTATACTTATACTTGATTTTCATTATAGCGCCTACATTTCACTCATACATCCTCTTTCCTTCTTTAACTCTGCTCTCTACTGACTCCTTTATAAAGTTCTTCCTCCCTCCTTCCCTTCTTAAAGCTTCTGTTGGGGGGTTCATTAACCCCCAGCCCAGGGCTCAGCCCCGGCCAGGTATTATTCGCCACCCCCTTCCTCGGCCTCCCCACTACTGTCCTGCTCCCATTCCCTGCCCCGATGCCTGGCCCAGCGAGGTGGCTGAGGCTCACACAGCCTGGGCGCTGCTGCTGCGAAACAGGAGCACCTCTGCCCAGAAGGCCTCGGCCCTCCTCCACTTCGTCCGGGGCCGTGGGCACCTCCCTACCAATGGCCACCACCACCCTCCCATGTCTGGGTGGGTGCCCCTCGCTGGGCACACCTGCTCAGGGGGGAACCCTTCCCTCCCCCCCCCCCCCACTCCCCCCTCCTCTCCCCGCAGTTGCCACCTCCTTCTGTGTGCAGTTTCTTCCCTTTTCCATTCCTGCGTCTGTTTCTTGTTCCCTTTCTGTATTTCTGTTTCTCCTCTTGGCCTGTCTGCATACAGGCCTGCCTTCCTCTCCCTCTCCTTTCTTATTCCCTCTATCCTATCCTATCCTATCCTACTTCGGGCCTTGCAGCTGCCTGAGCAGAGGGTGGGGACACAGCCTCCTGATCCAGTGGTGACATGACCCTGTAACGGACAAATTTGCATATTCCTCTATTATTAGATTATATGTATTATAGCCCAAAGACTTATCCTTTTATTTATATATCTGGTTCACCTTCTCTCATATGATTCCTTCATGAAGATTTTCACAATCCTTCAGAAAAATAATTCCTTTTTTTAAGGATTAGTTTTTACCTCTTCACAGCTTACAAATTTCCATTATGCCTTGTTAATTGCCACCTTTTAGAGTTAATTTGTTGATATAAAAATATAATGGATAAACTAAGTCTGATTTGCCACATTATCCTCACTACTTAATGTGAATGTTTATACTTAAAATTGAACCTAATTTTAATTGTTTTTAGGTCGTTCAATGGGCTCAAGAGCAGCTGCTTCTGTAATGTGTCATATTGAGCCAGCTGATGCTAATGATTTTGTTCGAGGTCTCGTTTGTATTTCTTATCCACTGCACCATCCGAAACAGCAGCATAAACTTAGAGATGAAGATCTCTTTCGTATAAAAGATCCTGTACTATTTGTGTCAGGCTCAGCAGATGAAATGTGTGAAAAGGTGAATTACAACTTGATATCTGTGTGCATGAGAGAAAGACAGATATTTTGGGAACAATATATTACCTGCAGCAGTCAATCATTTTACTGGTAAAGAGATGCTGATTTGACTAATTCGAGTTCTGTGCCTTAGTTGTTCTGTTGCTTTGGAGAACCTAAAATAAGTATAATGACAAAAATAATCTCCCTATAAGGAGAATTGGTAAATGGATTAACTTTTACTTAGGAAATGATTAATATGAATCTTATGAATTGGGGATTACTAGACTACACTTGGTTTATCATTTCAACTTTCAAGCAGATTCTCCAATTTTTTATAAAATTGACTCTTGAGAAAAAAATAGTAACTTCTAAATATTAGTGTATTTCCTAGAGCTTATAATTTCTTCGGGGAAAATATTTTTAAAAGATTTTTTGGCTCTATAATTTTTATCATCAATATTAAATGCTTGATCTGTTCTGTAGTATTGCTGTTTCTGAGATAGGGGACTGCCGGCCACCTCAGTAGACATTTCCTTGCACGTTCCATTGACTTAAAAGTTGTTTGTAGAGTAAGTACTTAATGAATATTTAATGAATGGATGCTAGTACAGGTGAAGCAGGAGAGAGGATTTTTATTAGACACAAATAGACCATTAGTCTAGTATCCTCTTCTTTTTTCCTTTAGAACTTGTTGGAGAAAGTCGCACAGAAAATGCAAGCTCCTAATAAAATCCACTGGATTGAGAAGGCAAATCATTCCATGGCAGTGAAAGGACGGTCAACGAATGATGTTTTCAAAGAAATAAATACACAAATTTTGTTTTGGATTCAGGAAATCACTGAAAGGGACAAGAAATAATTGTCTTTAGTTAAAAGTCATGTTATTTTGAATACAAATACAGTTAATTTGATAAGGAACAGCATAACTCTCAGCATTATGAGGTATATTTTCAACTAACTTAATGTTCTTTAATGTTCCCCCATTTATAAAACATGTTTTAATTGTGAAATTGATGTATTTTACAAAATGTGTTTTGAAAGCATAGTTCTATAAAGATGATGCACAAATGTTGAAGACGGTCTAAATATAATTTATTTTTATTAATATAGTTAAGTTTGAAAAATTAAACATTTGAATTTTGTTACTGTGGAACTTTTGTCTTATTTCTGTGCAGTTGAGAAAGTAATTTTGCAGAGGAGTGTCATCTTTAAAAAAGGAAAGCAACACCCATTTTACTATAGTAAATTGAGTGACTAATTCATCAATAATCTCATCTGAATAATTACAGAAGCCTAATTAATTTTTCTATTTCATTGTCTCCTTACTTCAGTAAATCACTTGATACCTCCAACTCAAAAACTTGGGAGATATTCAAAGGTGATTATTAAGGTTAAAGTCCTTAATTTAAGGCTCTGCAAAATAGGCCCTATCAACATTTTGGCCTTATTTCCCCCATTCTCTAAACCTATACACCTCTTTTATAAATAAATGAGATGTGGACTGTTGGCCGCGAGTTTGTCATGCTTGCTGTACACAGTACTCCAGGTAACATGTACTACACAGATATCTCGCCTTGGAACCCACATAATATCTTCAATGTTAATCACATTTTGTCTTTTCAGTAGGTTATTAACATATCTAATCCATACCACTTTCGTATAAAAGATCCTGTACTATTTGTGTCAGGATCTTCAAGTTAGGGAATAGTTTTTACTCATTTTTGTATCTATAAGCACTTTTTAATTACTTACTGAATGACTAATGCTTTCATTATTCAATAAAGATTTATTGTAGTGATATTCATAAAATTTCTAACCATTATGAGCAATCCTGATTTTATATTGCTATTTGGGACTTTCCCCCTGCTACATAAAGAATAAAAACCTAGTTCACAGTGCCTAGAAAGCTTGAAGAATGTGACAATCAATATAGATTTTTTAAAACTTCAATTTTTTTTGAGTGTTTTCCTGAAGTGTCCTATTACTGTTAGTAATGCGATTTCTCTGGTGCTCATTATTTTTTATTTAGTCTGATTTTTAAAAATAAATTTAGCTTAACATTTTATTTTTTTAATAACCTAATTTTTTATTGATTTTAGAGAGAGAAACATTGGTCAGTTGCCTCCTGCTGGTGTTCCAACCAGGGATCAAACCCACAACCTGGGTATGTGCCCTGACTTGGAATTGAATTCACCATCTTTTGGTGTATAGGACAATACTCCAACTGAACCACACCAGCCAGAGTTAGCATTTACTTTGAATTGTGCTTGAGATTGACATGAGAGATTTCTAGTGCAAAGGACATTAGTGTTTCATTTGTACTGAAAATTAGGTAATTGTATTTTTATTAGTAGACAAGGAAATTAACATATGAATGACAAAGTCCTGCAGGGGGATAACCTTTATCTCAGCATGAGAGTTACACAGAAGTTCCTTTAAAGTTTTTATAAGAGCTATTCAGTGGTATACTAATAAAGGTTTAGTGCCATAAGCTCTGAAAAATCTAAGGAACTAGAGTAAAGTGTTAAAACATTGAATCCCCTTTAAGGTAGTCACAGTAAATGAATTGGAGAATGCCTGCTATAGGCAAGGGATTGTTTTGCCAGTTGCATTATTTCATAGGAAAATTATTTTAAATCACCGTGTAGGTAGGGAGTCAGAGAGGAGGGTATACTTTACCCTGAATTCCAAAGGAATTGCTGAAATTTTTTCTGAAAGTAATGAATGCCTCCCATGTATTCTACAAAGATATTCTTTGCAAAAATAAACCCCAAGATAACAGTTAAACCTAGATTAAGCATGTGTCTACCTGGAGGCTATGGTCCAGTAGACTGAAAGACTGTAAACTCTGACATTTAAAATGTGCCTTTGATCTTACTGTCTTTCATATGGGACAGTAAGAGCCCCAAATATCTTCCTTGCACTCAAACTTAGGTGACCAAAGAGGCCTGAACACTTAACTGGTTTAAAGAGTAATATTTCTTTTCTCAACTCACCTTGAATAAGTGAAGACTTAAGAATTATATCTTCAAAGGGAAAGTACTCTAAATCCAAGGTAGTGTTAACATTTCATTAATAGTCCAGACTGTCGTCTACTTTGACTAAACTTTAAGAAAGAGTGAGCAGGACCTAAATCTGGCTCTGCCCCATCCTTCTTCTGGCAACAGGAAGTATCACAAGTAGCTACTTCTTGGAATCACTGGCCAGGGTGAAAAGGAAATTTGCCAGGAGACCATGGCAAAATCTAACTTTGGTTTTTAGCATAATGGTAGGTTGTTGAAGAGGAACATTCCCAACAGACCCATCTAGTAAAAAGAAATATAAAAGATGCTGTCTAACCGGTTTGGCTCAGTGGATAGAACATCGGCCTGCAGACTGAATTGTCCCAGGTTTGATTCCAATCAAGGGCATGCACCTTGGTTGTGGGCCCACCCCAGAAGGGGGTGTGCAGGAGGCATCTGGCCGTTATTTCTCATGGATGTTTCAAACTCTATTCCTCTCTCTTCCTCTCCGTAAATAAATAAAAAATTAAATATGTATATTTAAAAGTAGGTACTTTAAGGTTAAAAGAAAAAATCCCATGTCCTACATAACAATGAAGTATACTACTAATAAATTTGGAATTTATCTTAAATTTAAACTATTGATAGGTCATATAGGTTTGATTTTTTCTAAATCTGGCAACCTTACATTTTTACATAAAACATAAAATATACTATTCCTGATGGTAATAGAAAATAGTATGCCCCCTAAAAAATTGTTCTATATTTGAATTATGGGACAGTGATAACCCGCCTATACTACTGTTAAAATTGTCTCTCTTTTGTGAAGTTAGTAGAGGATTATTTCAAAATTTTTTAGCTGGTTTTGCTCAGTGGATAGAGCATTTGCCTGCCAACCAAAAGGTGCCTGGTTTGATTTCAGGCAAGTGCACGTACCTTGGTTGCAGGCTTCTCCGCAGCACGGGCCCTGGTCATGGCATGTGCAGGAGGCAATTAATCCATATTTCTCTCTCTCCCTCTCTCTTCTACTCCCTCTAAAAAAAATCAATGGAAAAATATCCTTGAGAGGATTAACAACAGAAAAAATTTTAAAGTAAAATTCTATAGCACCAAACATCTCATTATTGCTAAAGTAAATTGATATGCAGTAAAATACCCACTATGACACATACCTCACATACCTTGATAAGACACTGAGAAGCACCAGAAAATTTTTTTCTGGCAGAGTGCTGCATGTGGTTATGAGGAAGACTTCAGAATGTTACATCAATTTATTTCACATACATAAAACTGTCAGCAATTTTTTTAATTTAAAAAAGCTGTGATGAGTGGATTGGAAGATAATACATTTTGAACTTATAGGACCTGGACTTCTCAAAATGACTGGATGCCAATTTTCTTTTCATTTTCCTAGGAGTTATTTTTGAGATCATGCTCATAAAGATTTGACATGGTTTCAGAAAATCTTTCACTTCCAGAAGAGGGTAGTTCGATGCCCAGAAGGTAAGAAAAAAAGTGGCTGATTAACTTCTCTCCTATTTTCTCAGTATCACAATTATGGAACTTTCATAGATGTTTAGGTTGCACTGACCAGCCTGTCAGGTGGACCCAACCACTAATTGCACCTGCAGAACCATATTTTCTTAAAGTATATATCCAAAATTCTTCCACATTAAATAAATAAAATAATAAAAATCAAAACCTGAAGAATAAAGTCAGAAATTTGGGAGTCCTGAAATGATGGTGTTTTGTGCAAAAATAAATCTTACTTAAAGATACTAGTGTTGTATTTGATGTAACTCAGAAAGCAGTACTTCAAAGTAAATATATAATCAGGAAGTTTCTAATCTTAAAATTCCATTAAAATTAGTCACTAAATTCTTGTGCTTAAAAGAAAAATGTCACTACAATGGTGGACCATTTCATCAAAGCAGAAGCACCTTTGAAAATTCTCTCCATTAAAGCCATGGGAAATAGGAAAAAATTATCAAAAGCAACTTTTTCAGAATTCTTGAAATTAACCAAAGGCATGTAGCAACCTGAGGCATGTTTGTGCAATTAAAATGGCTGAATCTCAGAGCAATGAGTGTATTTTGTGATGTTTTAAATTGCCCTACCCCCATTCATCTCCAGCTCCATGTTAGTCCTGAGAAGTAGCAGCCTGGCAGACATTGGAGGGAGCCACATAGAGCTGGAAGCTCCTCCAAATTCCATTTCCAGAGAATTGTCATTATTTACCTTATCTGGTTGTTTTCTAGAATACCCCAAGTGCAAAGCAGTCTTTATTAAACAGGTTTTGTCAGATTCTAGGAAGAATTTGGTTTACATGACTGGAAATGCAGTCCTATCTGAAGTCAGATCTCTCTTAGGCCCAGAGGCCTTTTCCAGTGGCTGTCCAGATAAATATAAGCTATTGTGTAATTTTGTGGCTGCCTGAAATGGTGGGTAACATTTGGGGCTAATCAAAAAGCTTATAAGGAAGTATGTTCATAGGGGCTTTGAAAGCTCTGACAAACTCCTGAGCATCTAGAAGGGCACGCACACAGTAGAGCTGTGTGCGTGCCCTTCTAGACTTGAGAAGGACCCAGGCTCTCACCTCTGGTTGACCCATAAGCTCTGTGCAAGCAGGTGGTACTTACCAGATATGGCAAAACCTAGGTAATAAAACGTATCATGCATGTAGTAGCTGCAACCCAAATGAAACAGGTTCTGTAATTGATAATCAGCAGCATGACCTTAGTAAGTAACCTATCTTTTCTGAGCTTTTCAAATTTTAAAAAAAATGTATTTTATTGTTTTTTTTTATAGAGAGGAAGGGAGAAGGATAGAGAGCTAGAAACATCGTTGAGAAACATCGACCAGCTGCCTCTTGCACACCCCCTACTAGGGATGTGCCCGCAACCAAGGCACATGCCCTTGACCGGATTCGAACCTGGGAACCTTTCAGTCCGCAGACCGACGCTCTATCCACTGAGCCAAACTGGTTTCGGTGCTTCTCAATTTTTTTTATTGGATTGATGAACCTGTATTTATGGGGAGACCTGTATGTATGTAGGTGAAAGTGTTTGTGAGGGAACAGGCAGAGAGTTGGTCATTGATGGACTTCAGAATCTAGATGGTTTAGAAATTGTATGCAAAATGTTGGCATGCATATTTCTATTTTTTTCATACAAGTTCTAATGTATCAATCAAATAAAGGAATCAATTATAAAAAACCAGTTATGAACAATTAGACAAGATTAATGGTAGACCTTCTAATATGTAGTAGTGAATTCTAAGGAAATAAGATTTAAAAATCACACACACACACACACACACACACACACACACACACACACAAATAATTGCAAGCCTATCAGAAACATAAAATAAATTACCTCAAGTTTTTTGTCTATGTTTTTAATATTACTTTTGTTCTAATCCCAGATATTAATTATGAAAAATTAAGACCAACTTTAAGAAGCTTCAATATTCACGTTTATTATTAAAAAATTAAGGTATCAGTGTATATGGTGTACTGTGATCTTGGTTTTGCACATTTATTCACGTGGTTTACATTATTTCAACTTAAATAAACATACCATATGTGTGTCTTTACAATACCTGATAAAGATTTAGCTATCTGGCACTTATACATGTATTATTGGTTCATTCAGATGCTCTGCACATCAAGAAGATGTTAAAAATGATTGGCCTGAAATTACTCCACGATGAAGATTTATAGAAGCAGTTCTGCTCCAGCAATTGCCACATTATTAATTTGTGTCCCTTTAAATTTCCCCCTTAATTGAATGAAAAGGTAAAAAAAAAAAAAAAAAGAAAGACAAACCAGAACAATATCTGAAAGTGAAATTCTGTTACTTTTTAGTCCAATAAATAATTTTAGCTACGCTTAATGTAGCTTTTTTAAGGCTTTCATACAATTGAGAAAAATTAAAAGTTGAAAATGTTAAAACCCTGTTCTTTTATAAAATAAAAAATAGAATTTTACAGGTTTGCAGTTAAAAGTTACTGTTCAAAACTTATCACTCATGTAGTAGCTGCAACCCAAATGAAAGTCCTTGTGCTGGAAGTCAGGGCACAGCCCACTGCCAGCAATGTGAGGCATTAAGAACACACCATGATGTCAGAGGTCTAGATTTACATGTATTAAGCCACACGCCAGCAAAGTCTCTGATAAATACACATCATTTTAATAATCAATATTTGATAGCAGATGAAAACATGCATTAGACTAAAAATGCCACAAATTTGTTTTTATGTCCATCCACTATAAAATTTTCTTTTTTAAAATTTAAAGTCTTGGTTCTCAGTTTAGAATACACAATAATCAGGAGGATACATGATGGGGAGCCAGTTTTCAGTAAAAGATGCACAATGAGTCCATCCAAGTAACTTCATCAGCTATAACAAAGCATAGTGATATATTATTAAAGAATAAATTTTCAAGTTAAATGTTTAAGGCAAATTCTGCATTAAAAATTTAGTAATAATGTATGTAGAACGTTCCTTCCATCCAACCTAGCATCAACCCACCCATCTACCTTTCTACAAACCAAAGTTCCTTACTATCAATTATAAACTTTCCTACCAGCTAACCTACCCTAGTAATTATTATCATCCCAGCCAATCTCCCTTCTTTCCCTTTAACCTTTGTATTCCTTACCAATTAACTTACTTGCTCCCTTCCTACCAATCTAGTTTCCTTTCATTCATTTATTTTTTTTCCCTCCTGGAGTGCCCACTAGAAGTCAAAGTAGGCATTGGGAGAACAACACTGAACAAACTCACTTCCCATTTTTAGAAACTTATGTTCCATTCAGGAAAACCAAATAATAAAACAAGTTAATACACGAATAAATAAGTAAATTATATACATATATATCAGGTATACAGTAAAAATAAAACTATATAATACAGAGTGACTGGAAAGCTACATGGTCAAGAAAGAGATCTCTAAGGAGGTAATATGTAAGTTGAAACCTGAATGTACTGCGTCAGTCTGAGGAAAAGCTTTATGCACAGCTGGAATAGTTAGGTTTCCTGGTGGACAGGGTATGGCCAAGGATTTTACCTAAGCAGAAAGGAGGCTAGTGTAGCAAAAGCAGAATGAATAGTGTGATCTGAGACCTGGCTAAAACGGAATGCAGAAGCCAGATTACACAAGGCCTTGCAGGCCACACTGAGGAGTTTAGATTTAATTTTAAATGTAATGGAGATTCACCAGTAGGTGTCAAAGCCAATATTTCTGGTTGCTAACTGAAAAACAGAAAAGGAAGCAGAGTGGAGGGAAGACAAGTTACAACACCCCTAAAATCAATGTCTGGGTGGATCACTGGCTTCACAAATGTTTGCAGAGGCCTACATGATGAGACTAGACCTACTAACAATTAATTCCAGAAAGAGTTCTCTTAACCTATCCAGAGATCTGAAGGAGCTAATTTAAAATGTCATACAATTTAAACTAACTGGTAAAGGTACGTAAAAAAGGGTCTAAGAGTAAAGATAATCTATAGTTTAGTAAAAAATTTCCATAGGAACTTACTGGTCAGTTTTACATCCAAAGAATACCTTAAATATAAAGAGCAGACCCTTGACCACATAACCAACATTCCCCAACCTCCCTTTATTCTTTAGGCATAAACCAATTATGTATCAAAAGACAAGGTCAGGATATCCTATATAATAAAAGGCTAATATGCTAAGTGTCTGGTCATCTGGATGTCCATTCTACCAATCAAAGGGTAATATACTAATGATTTGCTAAGGCTGCTCAAACACTCGCTATGACATATGACTGACCACCAAGGGGCAGACACTCTGTCCAGTAGATTAGCTTGCTGTCCTGGCCCATCGGGACTGAGCAAGACAGGCCAGACACACCCGGGAGCCCTCCTGTGGTTGCTCCCCAGCTGGCCAACCTCCCGTATCCCTCCCTGACCTCGATAATGCACCATGGGGTCCCTCAGCCTGGCCTGCACCCTTTCGAAATCCAGGACCCCTCAGGGGATGTCAGAGAGCCAGTTTTGGCTCAATTCCACTCAACACAGGAGCTGCCCCTGATGGTTGGTGCAGTCCCACAGGGGGAGCACCCCTCAGCCAGAAGCCGGGCTCACGGCTGGCAAGTGCAGTGGTGGTAGTGAAAGCCTCTCCTGTCTCTGCAGCAGTGCTAAAGATGTCTAACTGTTGGACATCCCCCAAGGGCTCCTGGACTGCGAGAGGGTATAGGCTGGGATGAGGGGACACCCCCCCCCGCCCACGTGCATGAATTTTGTGCACTGGGACTCTAGTAATAAATATCTGTGGAATTCATTAAGTTTTTATATTTGACAACTAACTTCTTAAAAAGGACAACCACAGAACTTCACTCATTATAGTACAATATGTGGTAAAATAACGCAGTGGCTGCCCTGGCTGGTGTGGCTATTGGTTGGTGCATTATCCCATACATCGAAAGATCATGTGCTCGATTCCCAGTCAGAGCACAACCAGATTGTGGGTTTGACCATGGTCAAGGATATACAAAAGGCACCAAACAACTGCTCTCTCACATTGCTGTATTTTCCTCTCCCCTGCCCTTCCTCTCTCTCTCAAATCAATAAAAACATATCCTCAGGTGAAGATACAAAATTTAATAAGCCCCGGCCTGTGTTTTTCAATGATTAGAGCATTGGCCCACCAAAGGGTCATGGGTTCAATCCCAGCCCATTAGAGCATGAGCAGGAGGCAACCAATCAACGTCTCTCTCACCTCAATGTTTTCTCTGTTCCTTCCTTGCTTTCTCTGGCTCCCCCCATTCCCTTCCACTCTCTCTAAAACTCAATAAAAAAAATTGAGTGTGGATTAATAAAAATAAAATAAAATAACCTAATGGCCTATCATCTCAAA